GGGATTAAACACCTGCTGGGTGCTTCACATTTGCCTCATACGTTTCACAACTCTGGGTAAAGAATAACGTTCCTACTCTGTAGAAGAAGAAATGCAGATGCAAAGAACTAAAATAACTTCCCCATCCCAGCACTGTGGGAGGCTGAGGCAGGAGGATCACAAGTTCAAGCCCAGTCTGTTCAACTGCTGTCTCAAATTTTTAAAAAATAAAACAGAAAAGGATCAGGGAGGTAGCCCAGCCACAAAAATTCTGGGTTCAATTCCCAGTATTGACAAAAAAAAAAAAAAAAAACCTTGCCAGTCAGTAAGCAGCAAATCCAGGCCTGAACTCTGTCCTCTCTTAGCTTCTAAATGCTGTGTTCTTAGACAACAAAGACGATGAAACAGACTGAAGGCCAGTGCTGCAGCAGAGTCCTCCAAACAGGGTTCAAGTAAAGGTGGCCAGGGAGACAGCTTTAAAAGAAAAGGAACATTGGCATTCAGGCTCTGTGGTTGGCAGGGAGAGAGGGGGCTGTGTCTCCAGTCTCCAACTGTAGGGCATCACGTATCTTGGGCTTCCACTGAAGGCTTTAGAAAGCCTTCAGGTGCCACTGCTGTGCCTATAGCAGTAAAGAAAAAAGAGAGGAAGAGATGGGAGAGAAGCCACTCCAATCTGTGAACTTCCTGTGAATTTCCTCGTTTGTAGCAATAGTGTCTCCCTCCCAGATGCTATTCTTCTGAAAATGAAAAGCAGTAGTAATGGAAAATGTTAGTGAAAATACTTAGCGAAAAAATAACACATAGTCCCCTGGGGGTGAGAGATCCATTGTCAGCATCTTGGTGAAGTTCTGTGAAGGCAGAGGGCCTCCCATCCTAGCAGCTCTAATCTCTGGGCTTCTCACCACACCTGCCCCAATAAATGCCCACAGCACACAGCTGTCAATAAACGTTCAGTGGATAGCTGAGTGGGTGGAAGGAAGGAGGGAGGGAGGGAAGGAAAGAAAGAAGGAAGGAAGGGCAGATGGGCCAAACCAAAACTGCCTCCTTTAGTTACCAAAAAGACCTGGAGACTGGATCTCCCACGCCTCTGTCAGGAAACGGTGCCCGCCATCTACCAGGCTGAGACTTGCACTACTCTTTCTAACTCCTCCCAAGCAATCCACCCTATCAATTCCACCTGCCAAATTTTAGCTTTTGAATCCTCCCCCAGTACTCCCATCGCTCCCTAGTTTTTCTCCTGGATTCCTTCACCATGTCCAAACTGTTCTCCGGGCCTCCGGTCGGTAATACCCCTTCCAATCCACTGTCCACATCTGGGACAGAATAATCTTAAAAAGCACAAATCTGATCAGCTCACCACTGCCACCACCATCACCCTCCTTCCCACTTAAGCATGGTTGGTGCCTCCCTCTAGATTTGAAGATGAACCCCGAACACCTAAGCCTAGCATCCCCGGCCTTCACAATCTTGCTTGAATCTGCCTCTCCAGCCACACTTTGTCGCCTGGAGCAACGCGGCGCTCTCTGTCCCTGGCCCATAGCTCTGCATTGTGGTTTAGATGTGTTTTGTCATCCAGCTGAGGCACAGCTCCAGTGTAATGATGCTGAGAGGTGGTAGGGCCTTAGAGCTTTTGGATCATAAGGGAATCCATGCCCACGAAAGGATGAATTTAGCTTGCCAAAGTGGGTTAGCTACTGTGAGAGCAGGTTGTGATCAGGCAAATTCAGGGCTGGAGATTTCACTCAGTGGTTCAAGCGCAAGGTCTCAAGTTCAATCCCCAGTACCAAAAAAAGAAAAGTTAAATAAGTCAAATTCATCATCCTCTAATTGCTCTCCCTTTCTCTCAAACACATGACCCTCACACGCCTACTCCTCCTTTTGCTTCTCTGCTGTAATAAGGTGCGGTACGAGGCCCTTGCCGAAAATGGCCAGCAGCCTGCTGTTTGGCCTTCAGAACTGTGAGCTAAATAAATCTCTTTTCCTTACAAACTACCCAGCCTTGGATATTTTATTATAGCAACCGAAAACAGACTAAGACACCTGGGCTTCTTCCTCTTCCTGGAATCCTCTTCCTCTGCTTTCTATGCCTCTCTTCCACATCCATCTGATCTCAACCCTGGCATCCCCTCCCCTGGTGCTGGCTCTGACTGCACCCCCCCCACTAAGAATGTGCTCTCTCTTCCGGTGGACCCGGTGCTTAGTGCTCACCTCCCACAAGGTGATGAGCGTCTCTGTCCTTTCCGGGGGGCCTGGCTCACTGAAAGCTGTGTTTTGACCTTTGTTGAACTTATCACATGCCCTCTGGTCCTTGGAAGAGTAAATGTTTGTTGCCTTAATAAATATTTTGTCTCGCTTTCAGACACACATTTTCTTAGAAGCATATTCGCAATCACAGCACGTCTCTGGCCAATTGCATGACCAGTCAGATTTACTAAGATTAGGGTGTCGTGCATGTCTCTGGAAAAAAATCAATTAAGTTAGACATGTGAAGAACACAGCTTTTAGCCCAAAGTCAGGATGCATGAGCTTACAAACATGATTATATATTTTCTTGCCCAGAAAAATATGAATATATAACGTGTGTATATAAATCTGTCATTTTTGCCTTACTGTGTTATCCAAATATGCCAACTCCAAACACTGAAATAATAACAGTAATTAGTGAGTATTTAACATTCTTTGAGCATCAAGAATTATGTGATTATGCATTTCATTTTCTCAACTATCCTTTGGAGCAGACCTTTTTAGGATCTCCGTTTTACACATAAGGAGATTGAGACTTAAAAGAGATCAAACTTGCCAAATATTACAGCCACAGTGGAGGAAGACTACACTTGTTCTGCCATAGGTCCGAGGATACTGACCTCATGACCTCTTAACCTTTTTAGATTACCGGAAGAATCGTATGTGGGCAAAAATAGCTGTGGCTCCTGGAAGTTTTTATTAAAGCTCTAAATCTCTTGGCAGTAACTCTCCAAAGTCAGGGTTCAGACTAGCAGTGGTACTTGAAAACAAAATCACGATGCAAGTCTCCTGGCTACAGAGATGCACATGCTGCCAGAGAGGAACGCTTGACCTTGATGTTTACAGAGACCTGTGTTTTTCCTGTCACTTAGTGTCATGCCATCACTGCTGGGCGCTGATGCTCCTTCTGTCCCCCAAGGAACTGTCTCCTTCGGGTTTAACTAGTTCTCTGCCCATGAATTTCACTGCACCAGAATCCATAGTCCTGTCCACTGACCATAAGCGTCATGAACACCTGAACATTCACATACTCCTGGGATCCATGAGCCCAGAAAGCAGCATTTTAATCACATTCCCAAGGCAATTCTAATGAATACTAACATTCAGAACTATACACAGAGCCTCCAGATCCTGCTAACCAGCCACATCAGCAGCTTGTTAAAAAATGAAGCACTCGGGGGATCCCACCCTGACTTACTGATCAGAGTTGCATTTTTCACGAGAGAACCAATAACCTAAACATTTCCCAATTTTTTAACCTCAAGATAAGGACATAAAATGAAAAACTTTATTCAGTGTACTGGGCGTACAAAGGAGAATGTCAGCTGTGGCACTGGAAGGCGACCTGCCCAAACCCTACTCCCACCCTGAAGGCTCAGGAGAACAATGTCAGGCACACTTGCACTGTGGCACACCCATAGAGTGTACTTGAAGTACCCCCAGTTCTGTCTTCAGGAGGCATAATCCTTCCACTTACTCTGCTTTCCCTCATCATTTGTTATTTATTGTCAGATATACTCAGAGTGAGAAAGGCTGCTTCCCAACCGACTAATCTTAGAATTTTTTATACGGTGAAAAAACACTGTCTCACCTTCAAGTTCTAGGTAAACCGTTGGAGAAATGCAGAGAAAATGTCAGTCATCCTGATGAGTCATCTGCTGTGGCCTAAGAAAATCAGGAAAATCCTCCCCCCCATGCTGAAGAATGTTCCTTTCCCCCTTGGTCCACAAATCTGAGGACAGAGGATTAGCAATAATCAAAGTGGCTTCCTCTCTCCTGAGTGCCAAGAAAAATGTGATTTCATTCAATCCTCCCTTGGCGAAATCTGTCAGCCTGTGAACTGGACAGGTGTCCCTTTTCTCAGCCAGCCCCTGATAATGGGGTGACAGTTGCGGGAAGGGGGGAACGGAATACCTTCAGAAACACTTCCTGGTGAGACCATCTGATGAGAACCACCAAGTGTCAGGCACACCATCTGACTTCGCAAAGCCCCTCACTACATTGGAACCTCATTGGTTGAGGTTTTTTTTTCCTCTCTCCTAAAAAAAGATGAAAAAAATTTAAGCTCGAAATGGCAAGCTCCTCTTTTGAATCAAGTATGACACGGTCTACTACTAAATGAAGGACTGTCGTGACCTAAGCAAACGGTTGGGGGGAGAAGGTTGGTGACCATTGCTACCAAATAATTCATCTTTACTTCCTCTGTTTCCAACTTGCCTGCAGATTGTATTCGTTCTCTTACTGCCCTTCCCCTGGGTAGAGCGTAGATGCACAGCATGTCTTTTGGGGTGACGTGAGGCTGACCCTCTTCTATCCTAGTACTGTGCATCCCTGAAGCTCAGAAGACTCTCTTTGTACTCCAGCCACACTCTTTAGTGAGGGCTCTGCCTACGCCCCTCTGCCTTAGTGGTAGAATGACAGTGACAGAGAGTGCAGTCATTCGGTGCCTCTGGTTGCATTTCCACGGAACTCTTTCCTTGATGCAGCTCTCCGGAAGCAAAGCAGGCCCTTTTCCCGCCCCGACCAGGCAGTTTAAAAAGCAGTTACCGGTTCATCCAGAGTTGTCATCGTGTCTAAAACAATGAACAGATTTCCTCTAAGTTCCTAGCAACAAGTATTGGTATCAGTTTCTGTTTCTTGATCATCTGATTAACAAGTGCTGAAAATGTAAGATTAGGGAATGCTGTGGGTTGGACCTCCCTGTGCCAAATGAAAGCTATTTTACATGACCATTGCAGGCACACAATACTGAGCCATTTCTCTGTTTCGTGGTCCAGGATGAAGAACAAGCTCTGGTACTTTGAATTTGGCACCTCAGAGACCTTTGCAGCCACCTGCAAGAAACTCCACGACCACATAGAGTTGGAGGTAAGCTCCCATGTGGGGAGAAGACTTCAGCCTTGGTTTTGCTCCTGGATTATCGCACACATGACATAGCCTCTTGGATCCTTAAAGGTGACCCAGAGTGCAGTATTTGTAGCATCTCCTTCCGGTCTCCAGACACTCCTGAACATCACTCACAGGGTTCCTCGTCCCCTGGCTTGCCCACTTCAAGGAGATGATTCACAGGTGCCCAGGGTCAGCTTCATGGGTGTGCCACTGTGCAGTCACAAGTCCCTGTCTATGCTCAGGAGTTCCTGTGTCGCCATCTTGAAATTCTTAATGATTTTTTTTTTAACAGCCTTGCGTTTTCATTTTCAACTAGGCCCTACAAATTATGCAGCCGATCCTGTCGGTGCAGTTGTGTTTTCCCAACCGCTCTGACACTTGTAGCAGCCTGCCCCAGACAGTTTGGCTGTGGGCACCCCTTTGCTGGTTGATATGTTGCATCTCCACTCCTACAGGCTGCTGTCCCAAAATCTTCTCATCGGCTGCCCTGGGCATGCCTCTCAGACTCTGGCCACTGGACAGCCCAGTCTCCTATGCACTCAGGCTCTATCTCCCCTCTGAGGATCCTAAGGTCTATTGCTTCTCAGCTCCCAACCCCACTTCCCTTGGGTTTCAGGCCTCTAGTCTGGTTTCCAGACTAGAGCCAAACAGGTAGGAGAAGCAGCTAGAGCATTCCACCAGGATGGGCTCCTCCTGGCCCCTAGCTTGGTCTTGAAGCCTCCCTGAGCAGACCAGTGGGGCTGGGTACCCCTTTGAGAGGCTCAGGGGGGCCTCCAGTAGTTCAGGGAAGCCCGCCCCTCCCTTTCGGAAGGGAGGCTGTGGGCACACTCCACTCGCAGGGAGTTTTCGCAAACAACACATAAAACCAGGGGTTCTGGGCTCTATTTGACTCATCTGCCCGCCTTTCCCTTTTGGTTGCTGGGTTACTGACGCCAGGGCAGGAAGCATAGCTCCTCGGCTAAGCCTCTGTCCTTTGGGCCTGCTCGGCCAGAGGGCACGGGCCGGGAGTCGGGCTTGTGTCCCCAAGTGATAGCCGGCTGAGGCCACCTACACCTTGGAGATGCTGAGGAGCCAGCCCACCTCTGTGCACTTGTGGAACGCACTGCTGAGCTGCCGCTGAAGGAGGAGTGCCTTGGCCGGGACTGAGTGTGGCTGACAGATCGGGTGCGTTCTTCCTGTTGGCATAATTGTCTGGTGGGGTGTCTTTAAATATACCACAAATGAGGGACAGCCCTGGCTAACCACGGCCAGCTGCAGCACACAGCGACTGCTTGTTCTCCCTGCAGCTGGCCTTGACACTGTGCCCAGAATACAGCAGCTCAGCTCCCCTGACTCTGTGGCCCGCCCTCCTGGCTCCATGCTGGCCCCTCCAGGTCCAAGAAACAGCGGCACTTCCTCAACACAGAGGGGGCTGGTGGCCTAGTGGCAAAAGACACTGGTGGCCTCTGGAGGGGCGAGGTCATTAATGCTGTGGGTTGTTGGGCATTTCAGAAGCACTTCCTGTTTTCTGTATCTCGCCATAATGAGTCTTTTTAGTATTTATTCATGAGGGTAAGCTGGGAGAGGGGGTCATATGACAGAGGCTTCTGACAGCCCGCAGGATTGGGGCAGGCATCTTCTGCATCCAGAGAATAGAGGGTGAACCATGCTGTGATCCAGAGGTGGCTGGAGAGATCCAGGGGAAAAGCCATGGGGTGGCAGGCACGAGGAGACTGCAGAGCACAGCAGGTAGACTGGACAGCATGGGACGCAGAGCAGGGAAGAGAAGCTACCAAGCGACCTCTGGGTGCGGCTGCTGCACTCGCGGCCCTGACCTGAGCAGCTCGAGGTCACCCCGTCCAGGTATTTCCTGCTGTTTACAAAGCCTTGCTGCTGCCTTTATCCCAAGTCCTCCAGTGACCCTGTGGACTAAGAAGGCCAGGGATTATTACCCCCACTCCGTGGAAAAGCAAGCTGAGGAACAGAGGGCTACACAGTAAACAGGGAGAGAAAAGTAGAAATGGGACGGAAAATGTCACTTGCTGAAACTACCTATCACAACAGCTCTCGTTTGCTGTGACGACCCAGAGGGGACAAGTATTACCATTTCTTAAATGAGGCTCAGTGACATTCAGTAACTTGACCAAAGCTTCATTGCTGGCAAGTGGGAAGAAAGGATTCTGAGTCTCCCAAAGGGAATTGAGCTTGGAGCCCAGTAAGCAGAGATTTACCTAACAAGTGAGGAAAGCTGGTAAATCCTGCAGCCTTCTTCGTGGTATGTGGGACCATCTGATTCCCCCAGCTCGGGCAGCTGTGCAGCTCTGCTCAGAAAAGATCAGCGAAGATTCCAAATCCTAGAGTTCATCCGAGGGAAGCGTGAAGAGTTGGAGTAGACAGGAGCACAGAGGCAGAGAGGAGACCTGCCCTAAAGTGTACAGAAGACTTTTCCATGTAGGATCCCATTTCATTTTGACCCATACAAGATCACAGGACATTCCTGTCATTGCTTTATGAGTGAACAAACAGGCAGAGATCAGTGACTCTGAACTCAGGGAAAAGAAACTAAAATCTGCTTTAAAAAGAAAATTCTGTCCATCTGTCTATCTACCTACCAATTTTTCGTCACTGTAGCAAAACAACACAAAGCTCAAGTGAGATTTTTTTTCAGGGAAGGTCTCCATTAAAGTCCATTCATGGGGCTCCAGGTGCTTTCTCAGACAAATGGCTAGTTGGGAAGGAATGGGAGACTCTGTCCAATCTCTGAAATAAACCTCAGAGCCCAGCCGACAAGAGTGCTCTGCAGAACACCCAGAGGCCAGTCAGTTGACAGGGAAGAAAGGGACTCCAAACATACTGCTCACCTGCAGACCTGCAGACCCGGCTGGCCAACTGAAGGGGCCCCTACTGAGATTCACAGGCCTTGTTCTGCCTGCATTTAGTCAAGTAACTTGGAGAACTGCACATCAGAGCCTCGGGGTTCACATTTCTAAAATGGAGGTGAAGGGGGCCAGCCCATCTCTGAGGCCATTATTTGGATGAAAGTTTTCCCAGCTTTGGGGGTTGGATTTTTTGTTTGTTTGTTTTGGCTTGGTTTGTTTGATTTGACCAACTATTCTGCTAAATGTCTCCCAGAATTTGCAAACCATCCCTCAGTGGCAGGTGCCCTAATGACCATTCCAGAGCAGGGGAACAGAGACTAAGGGAAGGTGAGAAGCACACAGAAAATCCAAAGCCTGAGTAGTCCAGTCAGCCTTCCATTTCTCAAGAATTTGAGACTTTGAGGGCAGGAGAGGCACTGGAGAAGCTCATTCTGGAGCAGAGAGTCTCAGCCTGGCATGGGGCACAGTCAGTCTGCTACTTATTCTCAGTAGCACTTATTTGCTCATTTTGACCTCTCAGATAACGTTAAAAGCAGGCTTAGGAGTTTTGCGCTTCTCATGACGAGAGCAGAACAGATGCAGTGCAAACGCTCACCGCAGATTCTTCCTCTGGGGAGCGCTCAGGAGGGCCTGTGGCCGTGAGGGCTGCACCAGGAACCAGGGTGTTCATCGCTTTGTGACTGGCTGTAACTGGGAAGTGGTGTGTCAGGTATGCAGGCACACACCTGTAATCCCAGCTACCCAGGAGGCAGAGGCAGGAGGATTGTCAATTCAAGGCCAACCTGGGTGACTTAGCAAGACCCTGTCTTAAAATTTAAAAAATAGAATAGAAGGGGCTGGGGACATCACTCAGAGGTGGAGTTCTTGCCTAGCATGAACAGAGCCCAGGGTTCAATCCTTACCAACTGTCTGTCATCAGGTCTAAGATGAGATGCTAGGGTACTCCTTGATGTCTATTTGCTTCCAAAGGGGCCTTTTATATTTCTTCTAACCTGGCTTCGCCTGAATAAACAGGTGGGGTAGGGGACAGAGTCACCCCCAAGCCCACAATAGCCTTCCAAAGGTTTCTGGCCTGAGCACAGCAAAGTGGAGCATGCCAGGCAGGCTTCAACTGGAGCACTCAGTTTCCCTTCTGTGGAAATAATTCATTTTACTGGCTTCCATAAGAACTTCCCAAATTCCTTGACATTAATCCTTAAAACAGCTAGCCAGCTCCACCACTATGAACCTTGGCACGGGGGGGAGAAAAAGTAAGTCTGAATCTAGAAGGTACTCGAGGAAAAAAAATTATCCAAGTAGGTGTGGTGGTGCACACCTGTAATCCCAGCACCCGAGAGGCTAACTTGAGAAGATCAGGAGTTCGAGGCCAGCCTGGGCTACATAGCAAGACCTTGTCTCAAACGAAATCCAGTATACTTTGAAGGTCCCTGAACAGGAGTTACTGCACCTGAGCCTCAGGTGAGCACGGAGGTGCCATGCGGCACGTTTGTAATACAACAAAGTGGAACCAAGCCAGATGGCCGTCACTCTCACCCCTTAAAAAGTCAGTGTGTGCATGTACTAAATGCCACTGGACTGCACGCTAACATGGTTCATTTCATGTTATGTGAATTTTACCTCCACAGGAAATTTTTAAATTAAAAAAAAATGTGGAGAGTGTCCTGAGCACCGTGCTAGCAATAGTTAATCCGTATCATGGTTTGGGTCTCACCGATGAGAATTCTAATACTAACATTACACACAGTCATGCACCTGTAAAGAAACTTCATAAATAACGGGACAGATGACTTTAAGATTGGGTAGCTACTCCAATCCAGTGCCATGAGTTTTGAAAAGAGGAGAAATCAAAGACTTCACAGGCTAAGTAGCTTGACCAAGTCCAACCAGCCAGTATGTGTCAGAGCTTCAACAGATGACTCTTTCTCTGCCCGAGCATTCACCTGCTCTACTGCACATTCTGATATTAGTGGGGAAGAGATATCTCTAAGCCCCATTCTTCTGGAATGATATGAACCTTCTCAGCCTGGGCAGATAGAGCCTTTCAGAGCCTGAAGCAGGAAAGTAGGAATTGGACATTAGTCCATCCACCTCGTCACCACAGGAGAAACGGAAGGGACACTT